TCGACCGTGCGGGCGAAAAACGGCGGGGAAAAGCGCATTGGAACCGGGAAAGGAAACTGAAGACTACTTGGAAGCGGTTGACAGGTAAAATGCTTCAGCCCTGTTTCCTAATTGGGACAGAAGCATTTGTGTCTGAAATTACAAATATATTCTGGTAGGGAACCGGTTCTAAAACGGTTCTGTCTGAAATGACAGACCAGAAACTGTTTGGGAACCGTTCCTTTTCTGGATTATATTGTCTGTCTGAAATTCCTCAATGTTTATATGCCATCAGTAACAATATACAAAACATACTATAACCTAACCTAACATACAACCGTTCAATCAATGAAATGGACACGACTCCAGGTGTTATTCTAGAGTTCAGTCTAAAGTTCAATCTAACAATCTAACTCATGCTTCAAGAGGAAATCATTGACCTGTATAGAGGGTTTGCTGGAAACCTTTGGTCGAACCTGTATTTGCATTTTTAAATTAGTTTCGTGCTTCTGTGACGCCGTCTTTCTCTATGCTTGTTTGAATGTTGTTTGGAGAAGATTCATTTAAAGCAGTGCAGGGGCGCAATTACAATGGAGCCACCACGACAGGGCGATAAACATATGCAGACATGCAAAAGTATACTCGTGCCGTTGAAGTTTGAAAATGAAAGCAAATGTAGGCAGTTTTTTTGAAGACGGAGTCAGAAGGCTGGGACACCGGTGGGAAAGACAAATGCAGATTCGACCTTTGACTTTGGATTTCTGTGCCTGCTGTCCACATCAGTCTTACACCATTTGGAGTACATTTTCTGCAGCTACAATTTAAAAACTGCAGTTTTCTAGATCGGGGTTGACACATTTACCTGTGACGTGTGAGGTGTGGTGTCCACAGTTTTTTTTAAAAAAAAATTAAGAAACCACCCTATCACAGCTGTGCAGCAGTGTCTAGCAAGCACCTCCCTGCGAATGGTGGGAGAGGGCACCACACCCTGCAGGGAGTTGGCTGTCTGTCTGTCTGGGTGGTGCCAAGATGTTTTATTTTTTAGCTCCCTGCATGCTTAAAGGGAAAGTCTGAAGGCACTATCAAACAGCTTTAATTAATTAAGGTTTAGGTAAAGGTAAAGGTAAAGATTCCCTTGCTCGAAAGCCAGTCGAGTCCAACTCTAGGGTTGCGGTGCTCATCTCCGTTTCAAAGCCGAAGAGCCAGCGCTGTCCAAAGACGTTTCCGTGGTCATGTGGCCGGCATGTGGCCGGCATGACTTCCCACCGAAGTGGTACCTATTTATCTACTTGCAATTTCTTGCTTTCGAACTGCTAGGTTGGCAGGAGCTGGAACTAGAGACGGGAGCTCATTCCGTCATGCGACACACTCGGGTCTTGAACTGCTGAACTACTGACCTTCCACAGCCTGCAGTTCAGCGTCTTAGTTAAAGTTTAAAAGTTTAGAAAGAGCTGTGGAGGTTTTGTTCCCTGAATGTTTGAAGGGAAAGTCTGATGGTTGTATCGAACCGCTTCAATTGCCCTTTTTGCTTCTGCATAGACAAAATGGCCATTTAGTTCAATTGGTTAAGTATCATGCTCCTCACCCCGGAGTTGGGGGGTGCTGATGGATATGATTGAAGGGATGACATCATTTGCTGTGTTAATGAGGAAACAGTTGAGAGGTAATGCAATGTACTTTGGGTTTCTAAAGGTTAGGAGACATGTACTTAGAATAACTGATTAAAAAATGAGAGTTGACTGGAAACCCCCTTGCGCACTTGTTGGAATCTTCAGTAAGCGGCCTCTATTCTGTCCACTTTATGGACAGAGGGGGCATCAGTGGTCAGCTTCTCTGGGGATCTAGGGCTGCTAGGAGGATCTACCTCTGAGACTATGTACAGTGCAGCTGTGGGGTATAAATCCAATCTTCTTCCTCCTCTTTCTCTTCTCCTTCTTACTCCTCCTCTTCCTCCTCCTCCCCCTCTTCTTCCCCTTCGCAATAAGGTCCTCTGTTTTCCTTCTCACAGGTCTCCCTGCCCTTGCACAATGGCTCCAGGGATCCCCATGGAAAGTCCCATCTGTCTGATTGAGAACAAACCTGATGGGACACTGGTGGTGGAAGAGAAAGCCATGCACATACTTCTGGATATCCGCCAGCCGGTGGTGGTGGTGGCCATTGTGGGGCTCTATCGCACTGGCAAGTCCTACCTCATGAACAGGCTTGCCGGCAAGAGAAAAGGTATAAAATGAAAGGAATGCCACTTGGGGAACTGGGCAGGGGTGGAACGTGCTGGGCAGCAACACAGCGAACCTGTACTAACAATATATTCCTATCGTGTCGAGCTTTATGATTTATTCTAATTATTTTTTATATATTGCCTTTCTGCCAAAGCCCTCGAGACAGTTTAAAGTCCAGAAACACAAAAATAATGTTTGCAAAAGGCAAAATAATTCAACACCAGAACTCTTTGCAGGCGGCTGCTGTTCTCTTCGTCTGCTGGTGGCCTGAACCCCGGTCTGTTCTTTATAGTAGGGGTCCCCAACCTATTAGAGCCTGAGGCAGCTTTGGAGTTCTGACACAGGTTGGTGAGTGCAGTCACAAAATGGCTGCGGCAGGAGGCGGAGCCAGCCACAACATGTTGAGGAGGGGGGGGTCATGTATAACTACTAGTAAGGGTTCAACATTTCAGGCAGGAGCTCCATTTAACAGGATGCCTTTTAAAAAATGAACATATTTTTGAAATATATTTTTTGAATACTCCTTCAGTTGCAGGCCCTTTCCGCACTCTCCTTTTAGTCCATGTCCACCGCAGAGTCCTCCAAGCAATTCTGCTCTAAAATCGAGTTCAGCCTTCTTTTTATTCCAGGTTTCTGCCACCCCATTCTGTATTACATTACCTCCCTTCAGTGGTCAGCCCAGTTTCAGCCTGCTGTTGCCCCGGGTTATTTGGATGCTGTTGGGTGATTCTGCATCTGGCATTCGCTCCACATTTTCTCAACAGGGAGGGAAAAGCGCAGCTCAAAACCACATTCAGATACCTTGGGGCAACGAAGTAGTGACTGCAAAGTACTGACTGCAAAGAAACCCTTGAATGGCCATAAGTCTATGCAGAAAGTACCATAAATCCCGATGATCAAAGGAAGCAAAAGTGGCATGCAGTCAATGCGCCCTCTAATCCGTAGAGTCTTGTGAGCAAAAATTCTGCTTTGTGAGCTACTGGCATTAAAGTTGCGAATGAGCAATTTGGTCACTGCATAAATTAGTTTGCTCTGGAGCCCTCCTTCCTGAGCTTAGGCAAAAATGTGTGAGCAGGAGGCTAAAAAACTGTGAGCTGGCTCACACGAACTCAGCTTAGAGGGAACAGTGCATGCGGTGTGGAGGGTACCATAAACCCTGATGATCAAAGAAAGTAAAAGTGACATGCAGTGTGAAGGGTACCATAAAAATCCAATGATCAAAGAAAGTGAAAGCAGCATGCAATGCAGAGGGGAATTTCTGTTCCAAGGTGGGTTTTGAAAAACAACAGAGGGAAAAGCCAATGCAGAATCACCCGTTTTGTCGTGGACTTAAATTGCCTCGACTCGAACACTGAGAAAATCCAGAGCGGCAGGCAAATGCAGAAAGGACCGCACAATGAAGACCCTTGTGCTGTGGTAGCAGCTGCCGCCAAAGCAACTTTAATAAAAATCTGCATGACCAAGGAGATCTCTGATGCCCTACTTGGCAAAAGTCCCACCTAGCTCCACCTACTTTAAAAACATTTGATGGGCACCAGGAAAAGTGTTGGCAGATGGAAAAAAACTACTGCGGTAACCAAAGAGAGCTTGAAGCACAGAACCTTCTTTTCTAGAACTGAATTGCTCTCTCTCTCTCTCCCCTCGCAGGTTTCTCCGTAAAGCGTAGGGTCTCCAACATGGTGCCCAAGGGCACAATGGCACCAAATGATGTTCCTGCCCTCATGGAGCTTACAGTTTAAACTTTTGCTGCATGAGGGGTAAAGAGAGGGAAACAGGTGTACCGAGGAGTGACTGTGGCCAAGGGCAGTCACAAGCCCTCATTTGCTTAGGCAGTGTCAGTTGAACACAGGGGACAGGGAGTTGAGGAAAAAAACTACTGCGGTAACCAAAGAGAGCTTGAAGCACAGAACCTTCTTTTCTAGAACTGAATTGCTCTCTCTCTCTCTCCCCTCGCAGGTTTCTCCGTAAAGCGTAGGGTCTCCAACATGGTGCCCAAGGGCACAATGGCACCAAATGATGTTCCTGCCCTCATGGAGCTTACAGTTTAAACTTTTGCTGCATGAGGGGTAAAGAGAGGGAAACAGGTGTACCGAGGAGTGACTGTGGCCAAGGGCAGTCACAAGCCCTCATTTGCTTAGGCAGTGTCAGTTGAACACAGGGGACAGGGAGTTGAGGAAAAAAACTACTGCGGTAACCAAAGAGAGCTTGAAGCACAGAACCTTCTTTTCTAGAACTGAATTGCTCTCTCTCTCTCTCCCCTCGCAGGTTTCTGCTTGGGTGCCACTGTGCAGGGGCAGACCAAGGGCATCTGGATGTGGTGCCTTCCTCACCCCCGCAGGCCCAACCACACGCTGGTGTTGCTGGACACGGAAGGCCTGGGTGACGTGCAGAAGGTGAGTGGTGTTGGGGTTAACTGGTGTGGTTGGTCCAGTTCCCACTAGTCAGCAGAGTGCTTTAAATAAAGCCACAAACACAGCAGCGTCACTTTCAGAGGTCGATTCGGGGAGGGATCGCGGGGGATCGCAGTTCCCCCGGGTGAGGTGCGGGGGGTGGGGCACACAATGAAGCCCCGCCCCCCCGCTTCCAGCCGCTCCGCTTCCGGCCCTCATTAAGTCAGGAGGAGGCAGGAGAAGAGGGAGGGTAAGTTGCTTCCTCCCCGCCTCTCCCCACCCCTGCCTGCCTGGGGCCAGGGAGGGCCTTGGCGGGGCTTCCTCGCACTCCCGCCGGCCTTGCAGGTCCACCGCCAGGCCCCTGATGTCAGGGGGTGTGGCATATCCAATGAGTTATGCTAATGAGTTCCCCTAGCTCTTTTCTATGAAGAACCAGCTTACTCAGCTAACAAAGCCAGAGAGCCACGTGGCTGTTTTGCCAGTCGGAAATGCCCTCCTCCCAACCCCGAGAGTGGCAGAATACTGGTTCCTGCCTTTTAGGGTGCGATCACACTGTCCCTTTGATCGGGGTTCGCCGCTGTTTCCTCCCACATTTAAAGTTTCTGTTCACATGCGCCAATCTGCCTCCCGCACCGAAGCAGGCTCACTCCCGCAATACTCGCGAGTTTTCCTGACCCCGGGAAAATCGAGTACTTTCCTGGCTTTCGCGCTTTGAATGCGCGATTTCACCTATATGGACAGTCCTCTTTCGCACTCTCTGTAGGTTTTTTTTTAAAAAAAAGCTTCCGGTTTGAGAGCATGGGCATACATGCGCTTAAAAAATCAATTTCTTTAAAAAAAAAGTGCTTACAGCATCCTGGTGGAGGCAGGAGCGAGAGGTGGGGGCTCCGGCAGCCTGGATGGGGGTGGCAAGCAGGTGGTGGAGACTGAGTACTAGGGTGAGGGGGATGGCCAGCAGCTGGTAAGAGGGATGGCTCTTGAGGGGTGGTGTGGACATGCAAAACCAGAACAAAATATTCCTGTTTAAATTAAAGCGGGAACAAGGCGCATTTACAGTGCCGTGTGACCACAGCCTTAATCCATCCAAAAGACGTCCTTTCAAGCTACCTGGGGATGTGAGATCATGAAATGTCTGTGTCTGTTATATATCTGGTCTCTCACAAAGACGTTTGCCCTACAGGACCTCAGTAACATGACAGCAACTTCTTTAAACATGACCTTATACAGAAGGATATATCCAGGTGGCCAGAACAGTATATTAGACTACTGAAAGTAATTCAAGGGAATATTGGAATGTTTTGCTGACATGCCACTGCACCCACCTCAAGAGGAAAGGAAAAAACGCTGTTAAGTGATCTCCACACCTGAGAGGAGCTAATGGAGAGTCTCAGTCTTATTTTGACATATTTATTGCTTTACAGCTGTTGACGTTATGATCTTAGCTTGTTATTTAGTTTCCTCTTCACATATCTTAAAACATCTTCCTCATGTTACACATTAATTTGCTGTTCAGCCCTGTCTGTAAGTTTGCAATTTACCTTCCATTCCAATGTATATGAAAAACTGTCGAAAGTTCATATCTTGAATAAACCTTTGTTCGTCTTAAAAATGACACTGGATTCTAAATTTGTTCTTATACACAAAGTGAGTACTCTATCGCCCCCTCTGGTCTACCAGCAAACTGCACTTCTAACATTCTCTGTCAATTACAATGTCTGTTTCAGGGCAACACACAGAACGATTCCTGGATCTTTGCACTGGCCATTCTGCTCAGCAGCACCCTGGTCTATAACAGCATGGGCACCATCGACCATGTGGCCCTAGAGAACCTGCAGTATCCTTTTGGGGCATCAGAAATTGGAAGTGGGCTTTGATGGTGGGGATGGAGGAACCCCTGGGCAGCTTCAGGTGGCTGGCTAGGGCAGCCCTTTGTGGGAGGCAGTAGCAGGGAGAAGGTTTCCGTTTGAACTCCTGAGGCTGGTGAACTGCAAGGGCAAAGGCAAGCTGTCAGAGGGTAGGCAGCTATCAGAGGCAAGGAAAGGCCAGAAAACTTCCCAAAGGTTTTGGAAATGTATGGGTGGCAAGGTCTCAGATTCCAGCCATCATAGTGTTAACTCCCCCCCCCCCCAAAGGGCAATTTTTTTTTTGCATTTCTATAAACTACAACAGAAATTGGGAAGGGAAGATTCTACCATCTAAAGGAGAAAGTAAAAAGAACCTAACTAAAAACCCAAGTGTGGAGGTTTTACAATGCTTAGAACATAGTTATTACTCTTATACAGTTACTTTCAAACATGAAGAGTGCCCGCCAATCATCGCTTCTGTTGACAAAC